TGAAGAGCTTTTAATAAAGAATACAGAATGAGCCATTGAATTCAAACCCGTTGGGCCGCTCAAATCATTTCCGGTTCTACGGTTTTATTGATTTTTGAACGGTTTTTAACCGGTTTGTATACTCAACAGTTGAACACCTCAGACCGAACCACTGTGATGGTCGGTTCCTGGCTGAACGGGTCAAATCGACCAGTCCAGTCCAGTTTTCAGAACCATGATCTTGATTGCAAAACAATTGATGTCCATACCAAGAAAATAAAGGGAAAATATGTCATTTTTCTGTCTTTTTCTTTGTTAACGGAAGATAGACGCTAGTTTAATATTTTCTGCAAACCATAGTTAATACTACAAAGTAAACAGAGTACATTGCACAAGCACACAAAATACATAAATATACAAACCAAAGGCTCGTTCCATAATCCTTTTACCATTCCTCCAGTAATTCCTTAGCAAGATCCCTAAAGCTCACTTTCGGTTTCTTAACCAATTGAGTCCCAGCATCTAAAGATGATTTTCCCTCTTCAGGTTTGGGGTCAACACATTTATGCTCAACATCTACACGAACAGGGTTCGAACTTCCAACAGTTGTCTTAGCCAGCATAGGAACCATGTTCAGCAACATGGCCTCAAGCGGATCAATATCATCTTCAACTCGGTAGTTGTACTGAATACTACTACTACTACTACACCCTTGTCCGCCAGTAATTTCATTTATTTTGTCAAATTTTTGTCCATATTCACTATGGTCTTTTATTTCGTTGAGTGCTTCGCCTTCTGATGTGGAATCTTTCACTGCCTCTGTGTTCGGAGTTTCAGGAATTAATAGAGAATTTGCAGTCCTGGAGAGCAATTGTTCCTTTCTCCCATCTTCAAAGACTTCTAAATCCATATCATCTCCAACAATCACGGGCTTGTTAGTAATTCGGGCCTTTGTTCTTCTGGGCCGATTTTTATCTGACATTCTCTTGATTTCTTCTATAACTTCACTGGCTTCAGAATCTTTTCCAGTGTCCAAAGAAGTATCTTGATCTGATTCGTTTTCATTGATCTTGGCAGGTTTGTGAGCAACCCGTGACCTTGTTTGTCGAGACTTTTTGACGACCTGTTTTCCTCCTTTCGTGCTACTGTCAATGGGCCTTCCTCTTTTCCTATTCCCACTTCTGTTGTTAGGCAAGCTTACAAGTCTTGGCTTTGCTTCTGATGTAATATCTTTCTTCCCATCCTTAATTGAAGACAATGAATCTCTTGATCCAACTCCTGAGCTAGGATTTTCTTTGGGGTTAATTTGAAGCTCGGCACTGAATAACGGAAACAAACTAATATTAAACAAACTTTTTTAGCCAGAAATATATGAATAATCTCTTACATGGAGACAAATGTATGAGTGTGATTGCATGTATTATGAAATGCAAGTAAACATTCACGAGAGGAACTTACCCTTCTCCGGTTGACGTCATTTGGAAGCCCTGAGGAATCAAACTGTACCTGTCCTCGGGCAATATCTGGTCCTTTTCAAAGCAGTCATCCAACCACTGAGACTTGACAATTTGCAAATTTCTTCTGCACAACAGATGCTTGTCCACCTCCGAGAAACTGTCGACAACAAAATATATAATTATTTCAATAATCTCATTTAAAAGAAAAAATGGAAGACCAATAGTTTCTCATGAAGACAGGTCAGATAATACAGTACCTATGTCTTTATATAATTTTGCATGGTTGTGAACAACATAGATTTGTCATTAACATGTAAATTATTATATACTATTTAGGGATTTTATCAATCCAAGACTTCTAAGACGATCCAACTTTCAATTAGGGACCTGAAACAAAACTAAGATTACTAACACCTTTAGGAAAGGAAATGATTTGAGCGCTGCATTTATTTTAGAAAATTCAATATCACTACTGAAAAGAGGGGAAAAGGTCAAAGGGGGAAATATATTGATCGGTTTGCCTTTCTCGCTATAATTCCACCTGCAGAAACTCATTCTCTCTGTTATTACATCTTACTCCAGATTTCTGAACCTATCTTCCTCATTGATTTATTTCTCTCCTCTTTCTTTCTTGGTTCAAATCCAGTGCCCTACAAATTGATGCAACCTGTTCCGAAGTTTTAGTCTTGATTCTGTTCTTATTAAACTTCAATGTACATGCACTCTTTTCATTTGGAAATTATTATGTTTCTTTCATACATGCCTTACTTTTTCCCTATAGAATTGCATTTGTTTTGGTTAAGTTACTTGAGCCTGTGAAATGGACAGTCACATTATGCAGAAGAAATAGAACTGACCATATCTTGCTTCGATTTGTTTTTTCCCCTTTTAGCACCAACTACAATATTTTTTTTTTTTTTACTTGACATCGCATCAATTCAACATCCATTCAGTTTTTCTTCAACTGTGTTAAGCCTCAAGTCTTGTACTGATAGTATAAAATGATTCAGCCTTGAAAAGATAAGTTTTTTCTTTCGGGTTCCCTACTGGATAGTTTGCCTATAATACGAGTAGCGGACTGATTAAAAAAAAAAAACCCTTCAATAAACTGTGTGATATGATTAGCAGTCTATCTTTGTGGACAGAGTAACATGTATAAACTGCATTCAAAGAAAATTTAGAAACTTTTAACTGTGACACAAGTTCCATTTTTCAGCCATAATACATTAGTGATAAAAGTCTATTGGAAAAAATTACCAAAAGTCTAGATAAAAAATATTGAAATAAATGTAGCTTACCTATTCATTAGTGCATCAAAGTCCATATCAGTTTGTGGCAAAGCCACAACTACTAAATGCGTAGCACAAGAAAGGGTATCTGATACACTACCACCACCTCTGCGAATCTCGATCTTCATCCTTCTCATTGCAAGTTCAAGAGGAATGTCCCAATTCCTATTTTTTCTGAATCCAAATGAATAGGGAACAAAATCAAATCACAAGTCTAATTGACATATCCAACAAGGTTGAACTTCATCCTAATTATATTCCCCTTGAATATAATTCCCGAATGTGTTGAGCCTAAGTGGCAAGCTTACATGTTTCGGGATCGTATGTGGCAAAATTTCATGCTTCATTGTTTGGCTTAGATAGATTTTACTTTACTTCCGATTCAAAAATAACTAGGTCCGGATTCATTATTTATGGCCATTTTAGATGTATTAATTACATTTTAATATCATTTCATATTATAACATTGTAAATGTACTTTAAAAGTTAACAACTTTGGTAATTTTTTATCAGTTTTTACGTATATAATATATCAAATTAATCATCGATGAAGTTCGATTTGACATCCATATTATATGTATAAAAATAATTTCTATTTATCGTTATAGTAATAATAAAATTATTTAATAACATTAACTAGAAAAATAAAATTAATTATTTATGTTTAAAGTAGTTATATGGTATAAGTTAGAAAAATCATTTTAATATAAGACAGGTAAGTCACACAAGTATCAAGTGTCATTTTAATATATATAATAATAATAAGATAATTTTTTTGTAAAAAAAAAGTATTTAAATTTAAAACACTTTTTCTCATTAATTTTAAAATTTAAGAATACCTTTTTTAACAAGCACACATGTATTGTACTAGTACAAGTATAAATACAAATCATGTTATGACATTACCCTAGAAGATGGAAGTAAACACGACAACCATGAAAGCGAACCCATTCCTCCCTCGGAGAGTATTTTTTCTTGTAATACTCTTTTCCTTTAGAATCTTCAACCTTACCCATGCTGCTAAAGATCTGAAAAGCAGATATAACAAAACCAGAAAAACGAGTATAAGAGTAGGCTTGATCAGGCATGTTCAATGCACCAAATTTCCTTTTTTGTTTTACCTGTTTGAGGTCCGTCACATTGAGATCCAGGAAGTATGAGTCCGAGAATTTGTCGATTTCTTCTCCTAGCTTTTCCTTTGTCGTGTCAGACAGACAAAGAAAGTACCTTAAAAAGAAACAAAAAATAAACAAATAAATAAATAAACAGGTGGGGACAATATTTCAAGTAAAAGAGACCAAAATGCCCAGATGACCAACCTAGGCTGTAATGGAATAAGTTTCTTCTGTGCACAGCAGTCGGCAAACCAAGAGTAATGAATAACGTCTCCTTGGCGCTTAGCAGCCTGGAATTTCAAACCTGTTAAACAACTACAAAAGCTCATGCCATTTGAAAAAATGAGATTTTCACATTCTTGCAAGTCGAGACATGAAAAGACCAACCGACCTCTACTTTCAGAGGCTATGCAGTGAGTAACCGAATTGTTCAGATTCATTGAGAATGTGCCACCATTCTCTGCCACCATTTTGTGCAAGGAATCAAGCGAGCATGAAGAAGGTATATTTGCAAAGTCTACTATGTCAAGGAAGTCAATTAACACATGAACACCTGATCAACACACACACACGCGCGCGCGCACACACAAATATTGAGAAATGCTACTAATAAGTAGTTGTCCTATTCGTTCATAGCGGGAAGCGTGAAATCTGATTCGATCATAAAGCCGAATATGATGTAGCTTTAGTAAGAGCTAGGTCCTAGCGTAAGAACAATATATGATGCTACATTTAAACCGTGTATGATGCTATTTTTAATCTATATTAATTATTCTAAAATAGCAGCGGTACATATATATAGTAGAATCATCTGCGGTAAAAGACAGCATCATACATGGTTAAATCCAATCAGGGGTTAGTAGAACAGAGGGTTGGGATGAGCTCCTAGTTCTTACACTGATTTTTTATTATAACCCTACCCTATATGTATACATGTTCAAGTTCGGCTAAGTTGGACATCCGATTCACTTGAGAAATGTTAACAAATAAACTCAAGTGGGCTGAGTTTCCCAACACATCGGTGGTTTATTTCCAAGAAGTAATAGACAATTATACTTTCTGTTTATAAATGCTAAAAAGAATTTTCACAGGATACAAAATACCAGGTTTGAAAATATCGATGTTTCGCCTTTAACATGAGAAACATCAGTCTGAATAAAGTGGGAAGGAACAATAGAAACATTCTTCTTTGTTCCTCTCAACACCTTTGCCCGTTTTGGTTTATGTTCGTGCACAGCTTCATTATCATTCGCTCTTTGTGTGGAGCCATTGCTTGAATGTACCAATTCAACAAAAGCTGCACCAGGTAGGCCAGTGTGCATACCATTATACAGTGACTCTAAGAATAATAAAGAACTATTTATTGTTATCTATTGAGGACCATATAGATACGGAGAAAGATTACACTGCACATCAAGGCATTCGTGCCAAGGTTTATCATATCTAACTCGATCAATCCTTGGAAATCTCAAGCTATATGGTGCAGCAAATACCTTGACCAACAAAATAAGGAAGCATACATATAATCAATATTCCTTAAACATTAAATAGATTGATAAGGGCCAACAAAATTAGGAGCAATATATATATTACCAATGTTTCTTAAACATTAAATGAATTGATTAGAACCATTTCATAACAAAGTCACAAAACAGTTGTTACAACAATGTAAACAAAGAATAAGAACTTGGAGCCCAATCACCATCTTAGTAGATATTGTTGATGCACATGATCCAAATGCTAAAAGGTAATACCTCAGATCTGATCGTTCGAATATCACTAGTGATGGAAACTATAACTGATCTGCAAACAAGGACATAAGGGTGAGAAATGGTGGAAAAGTAAGACCATGAAGAATCCTAAAATTTTCTGCTCACTTTTCTGGGCTTTCAACCCAAACATCTGGTCTCTCCTTTGAGTTATTTGTAACCTGATAAAAGCTTGGAGGTGATTTCTTTGGATATTCAGACTTCCTGGAATCGGAATTACTCAATTAAAATTTAAATACAATTCAAGTGGGTAACAAAAGAATTCCATTCACTTGGCTATCTTTGTACCACGAAAACTAACTACATTCTGAAGGCCTAAGGCAATATGATAAATGGGTAAAATAGTTCCAAATACAATCTTGAAAGAATTTGAAGCTACCTGAGATAAGGTTTCAATTTGGTGACAAGAACATTAAGCTCCTCATCCGAAAGTCCTGTACCCACTCGGCAAAAGGAAACGAACCTGCAATAGCAAAGATCAGAATCTCTCGCCATCTTTATATATCTGCAGCTTCCTTATGCAGTTAAGCATAATAATTAACCAATATATTCTTCTACGAACATAAAATGAAGGTAAGTTGCATAAGATTAGACAATGGACACCATTTGTGATTAGGAAAAACATATCAGAAAAAGATATTCTTCATTCTATCTCACCTTTTTATCCTTAATCTTATGAACACAATTTAATTAAAAATCAATCATTGATACACCAAAAACAACAATCCACCCACTCACATATCTCTAGCTACCAATCATTAAAAATCAATATTTTACTAATTTATATCACATCGACCTTAATTTTACATTTCATTCTTCCTCGTTTATCCACTTGTCCAGAAAACTTTCAATAATTTTCTATATCAATCGCAACCGAAACAGTTGGTCCAACACATTCTAGACTCATAAATGTAAGATAG